GGCAGATTCAGATTGCAAAATACTGAAGTATTAACACCATTATCATACCAGGTATGATATCATATAATAAGGGATAAGGTAAGGTTATTCGATATTTAAGATAACTAAGGAAAATACATTTTAATTCCAAAGACAACATAGCTTTTTTATATTCATTTGTTTGCTCATATGTATTTAAGTGTTTTCAGAAAAAGGCACTGAGCTTGTGCATAAACCTGCATAAACATAGCATCTTCCATTTACCGTTACCTGGCTTCTTGATTCATTTAGTCTTGTAATGATTTGAGCTTAGAAATCCAATGACATTTTCACTAACCATCTCAAATGATCTGAAATTTTTGTGTCAATTTCTTTGTCTGTTTTATTGTCAGCTTTTTTAGAAGCTTTCCAATGGTCTTTCTGGCTTCTGCTGGGCTGCTTATATGAGGATTCCTAAGTCTGTCTAGAGATGTCAGACTTGACCAAGATATATTTTCTTGTCCCAGTTTCCTAGGAGATATTGTTTAATTGTTAGCCATGTTATTATATCTACAAGAACACAACTATCTGTAGTTGTTTCATACAGGAGTTCAATATTTTAGGTTTTGTAATATGTGGTTTCCTTAATTTTGTGGGTTTTGTTGACATATCACTTCACACTTAACTAAAAATAATAAACTACTTAGATCATGCATATCAATAACAAAGTCTGTTAGAATTGAGAGATTGCTTGCTTAATACCAACAAGTACTTTGGAGAGCATCAAATCCCCTGACAGATGAGTGTTGCCACAAGGATTTATTTTGTACAGCCTTTAACTAAAATAACTTCAGTTGCATTTTCCTATTTAAGAGTACTGAAGTAGAAGGCTATAGCAAAATGATTTATAGATAGAAATTGCATTCCACTGCTTACCTATTTCTGTAAATGATATCACAGATGCAGTTTGTACTTGATCTTGAGCACAACAATGTTGATATTTGTATATTCATCAGTTTTAACTAGAAAGTCATCTTCCTTTCTTCCTCCTCAAAATGTTCAGAAGTTTTAGAACACATGATAGTGTTAATTTTCTTTTTCTCATCATCAGATACACAGAAATATGTTTCTATTCTATATTTGGAGCATTTTCATTGTTCATTATGACAGCTACTCTGAAAGTAATGCCTTCATTTATTATGTTGGCCCATGGCGTCAGAGGTGGATGTTGGCAATATGGCAGTGACAGTTGAACCTTCCTATCAATATTCTCTTACGTTTTGTTGCCATGTGACTGATGGCAGCAGAGGTGTTGTCTTACAAAATGACATCTGACACGGAAGTGCCTATGAAGTAAAAGTGTGTCATTGAATTCCTCCATAGAGTATCTGCTGTCGTTTCCATGGAAATAAACAGGGGATGACCTACGTAGAAGCAATCTATGTGAAATCATCTAAATTTTTAAATGGTGAGGGAAACAAAGCAAAGTTTTCCTATGCCATGTTTTGACCATTTAGTTACCATCCTACAACAGTGGAATTAGAAAAAATACTGAGTCCTGTCCTGCATTTGCAAATTGAACCTTAACTCACTTTTAGTTTTAGAGATAGTATACAACCAAATCTCTTCTCTGACCATTTTGTTTACAAAAAACACAAAATCATCATGGTTGGAAAAGACCTCCTAAATCAACCAGTCCAACTGTCCATCTATCACCAATCATACCACCCATCACTTATTGTATTGTACTGAAGGAATGCTAACAGTCATATTTTGACCATTCACTGTAGAACAGATGTTTACAGTGAGTGTCACAGCACTCTGGTGTGATTTTTTCTGTGAGTGAAATGAAGAACTAGGAAATGAAGTTATTTAGGCAAGATCATGTAGCTCCAGTCCAGGACAAGAAAATCATTAGGCAACTTGTAAAGCTGAACATGTACTTTAGCATAATCTATGCAAGTTTTCAGTTCTGTGCTATAGATAGATGGTTGTATGTTGCTTAAAATAATTGACTTGGTTACTCCAGATAATATGTTTCTTATAAAGACTGGGGCAAAGGAAGGAGTTAGTGTGGGAGTGCTATTTCCTAATAGGAGGCTTAAAACCTGCATTATTTTGCAGCGTAATCTTAGCTGGTGTCACTGACAAAAGAGCACTTTCCTAAACACTTTCCTCCCTTTTGCTTCAATTCTCTTTTTGCTGTCTCAGTTATTCCTCTGTTGGCTCCCTCAGTTGTTCATGATTGAAGTTACAAGGAGACCAACAGACCAGTGCAAAACCGATGGTTCATATGTTTGGTGTCACAGCTATTTAGATACTTGAAATATCTTGCAATTATCTGACCTTATTGGGATCTGCTATTGTGGTCTGCTAGCCAAAACAAGGACTTTACTATAAATAAATAAATAAGTAAATTACTGGTTGTTACTATTTGCATGGTAATTGCTTTGCAGCGCTTATTAAATCAGTGTTTCTGGCACAGCTTTGTGATAGGAGAAATAAGGTTATTAATATAGTATGACAAAAAGCTTCTCTCATTTTCTGCATTTGTTGTTGTTGTTCTTTTTTAATTAATTGCTATTTTCTCGTGGCAGAAGGGGAAATGGATTTATTGTTATTCTCAGCTTCAAGAGATTTTGTTGAGGGTCATTGCATGGCTGGAAAATCAGTGATGTTTGGAGATGTTTAGGGAAATACTTAACGGGAGGAGATCAGCTCCACTGTAGACTACTTGTGCCTTTTAGTTTCAAGCATGAAAACGACTGATAACTTGTCACATTCGTCAATCTGAAATGCGTCCTCAGCACAGTTAATCTTATAAGCTGGAAGCCCAATGCTTTGAGACTATGCTGGATTTATTGTTGCTGTATTCATTACTAGTTGACACAATCATGCATGCTCTAGGTCTGGTCACAACTACTGGTTGATTTTAGTGAGTTTTTGGTGAGATTTGGGATTTGGAAAAACAGTCTTACAGGAACAATTTTAAATGTTCCTGTTTTAGGCATTTCTAAGAGACTTGCCACAAAACCTCTATTGTCTGTACTGCATCTTTTCATACCAATATTTTTAGTTAGCCTTGATTTCAAGATATTGCTGTAAAGACACCATCATATGTTTCAATTTCTCTTAAGTGTTCCAAGGACCCAATGCAATTTGTAATTACGGTTTAATTAATTATTAGGCATATGTAACTGTCAATCATTAATTTAGATACTTCTGTCTCACAATATTTGGAATGGAGCTTGGTTTATGAAGAGTGAAAAAAAATGCACCATTCCATCTGTTAGCCAAAGCCACCTGGCACAAAGTCAGTTTGGGCATCATTATGTAGTTGGCAAGAGTTTCAAAAAATGTGATTTCTACAGTTTTAATCCCAATTGATGCTTTACTTTGTAGTGATGGACCCGTTCTTTTTCACACAGCTCTAAGTAAAAAAATCTTGTATTCACCTTGAAAAAGAAATGCCTAGCATCAACAAATACAGGAATCAAGAGACAGGCATGAAATAATCCTAAATACACAGTCAAATGAGTGGAACTGAAACTGGTCTGTTGTTATAGGCAGTTGAAAACAGTCACGTAGGAGTTGTATCATTGTCCTTTTAATCTCTGTAGGAAGAGACTTGCGACAGTTTTGGGAATTATTCTTTTTCTTGATGATAGTGTGAAAATTTTTTTCCAGAATTCTGGGTTTTACAAGATTGCTACATCTGCAGATCTATTTTCTTCCTCTTTTGGCAGTGAAATTTCTTCCTTAATCGTCTGGAAATAGAATACAGTCATAAAATACTTAACAAATTACTTTAGAAATATAAAGGAACTTTCTCCCTTTAACTCATCAAGGGGAAAGGCAGACTAACACACAGTTAGCTCTAGTTTAGATAAAACCTTTGAAGTAGGATAAAAAAAAAAAAAAAAAAAAAAAGAGCATTTAAAAATAATAGGAATTTTTTTCCCAGTGTTTATTGCTGATAGGAAACAGTTCTCTAAGTAGAGTCGAACGTCTTGCAGAGTTCGCAAGGAAAACATGCATACCTTATGTATTTTAAAGCTGCAGCTGAGGCAAAGCTGATTGAATGATGTAAACAGAATGATGTTTGTTAGGCACATTGAAGCAGGTAGTTCTCAGAAAACTTGCTCCTTTTTTTTGTTTTGTTTTTTTTTTTTACTAAAATAAGTGAGAATATCAAACAGAATTGTAGTTCTACTGTTCAGAACATGTGGCCTGCCTGAAGATTGTGCTGTCATTCTGTGTGTAACAGACAGACAAAGGTAAAAGTTTGTAACTGAAATTATCAAGAGATGACCTTGTCACAGAGGAGTTTGTTTACAAATGCCTGCTCAGAATAGCTTACTTTGTTCAGGATTGTTTCCCTGTGGCAAAACATTCCTATGCTACATTTCAGCACCTGGGGAGAGCATCCTTCGTTTGAATTCTTAAAGTGATTCAGTTATCGTTCCATTTAATTAAATGGCTTTTAATATTTAATTTTCATGAAGGGAAAAATGATCTGCCATTGCAATTATGATTGATTTTATTTTATTTTATTGCGGCAGACACTGGGAGAGAGCCTTTGAGATAAGTTTAGTAATAAAAACGCTTCTGGTAGTTTGTAAAATGTGTTATCTGTAATGCAAAAAGAATTGCTCATGTTATTAATTAAAAACCTATGAGTTAGTCTGGAACGTGGCATTTAATTTACTCCGGTAATGTCATTCAAAGTAAATCACAGCATACATCAGGATGTCATTCTGAAGGACCCCTATTTCTTAAATCTGTAGGAACGTATGGCTCATTAGCTAAAGGTCAAGGATTGCCTTTTGTCTGTTGTGACAAGAAATCTGGGAAAATTTGTTTATGAATAGGCGTATTATTATAGTAAATAATAGGTAAAAAGTACCCACCTAATATGATGTGCTCAACCAACTGCTCCAAGCCATTCACTTGCGATTAATTATTACTCACTTTCTGTAACATGCCTCTCTGTAAGTGTTGGTGGAAAAGTAGATGTCCTTGGTGGGTCAGTGTGGATGCATTCTTCCCACATTTGGCAGATTGTCTTTAGATTTCTCTGTGTGCTTTTACTCCCACCCTATGCCCATCGTAGTGGTATTCAACTGCATTTTGTCTATTTTTTACTGTCTGCAAAATTCCTTATATTCTTAACCTTGAAACTGTCTTGACAGTGAATATTAAAATACAACTTGTGTCAGAAGTTGCATCACTAAAGGATACACCATCATATTTGCTCTGACTGTGGATAGTAATGAATTCATTTTATGCTGGAAGAGCAAATTGCTCACTTTACTATGTACAGATCATTTGAATAATCTGTTTTCTATATATTTTTAATTAGGTAAAATTATTAAGACACATTGGAAATGGTTTTTTTGTTTTTTTGTTTTTTAATTTAAAATGTGAGAAGTCAAACTGTGCCTTGTTTATTGTGTCATTCCTTAGTTTCAGTTGAACAAATTAGTAACAACATATTCAAATTAACATGAAAATGCCAGCTGTGAGCTCCATCTAAACTAGAATTTGGTCTTCACCAAAAGCCACTGTAAGATACAGAAAGGCACAGCCTACAATGGTTAATTGGTAATTTCAGAACAACTCATAAAAAAGCAGTGCAATAACATACAGTGTTAATTTATTTATTCAATTATTTACAAGTGTGATTGGTCTGTTGTGAGCTTTAATCAGAAACATGTTCTTGGGTAATTTCTTCACAAATCATTTGTAGAAAGGGTTACTTAATTTGTCTGTCTGTCCCATATACTAATTAATATATATTGGGAAGAAAAACAACAACAACAACAACAAACACTCCTAAGGATGATGTTTGAAGCAGAGGTTGAAAAACTTAAGTGGTAGAAAGATTTTACAAGAGAAAAACATAATCCCATGGTATTTCTTGCCTTTCCAATGAACCACAACCTTTATATAGAGATTATTAGCTTGAGGACATAGCAGGTTCCCTGAGAATGCAACCAAATAGTGTTCATTTCTGCTCCAAGCACCAGATTTCTACTGTCTTATTTTTTGTGAAAGAGAGGAAATTAAAAAAGAAACACAAGTAGTCCCAATGAGCAGTTTGGCATTATCTCTTCAAGAATCAGAGCACAGCTCCTTTTCATTCCTCAGCAGCCCCTCTTTGTTCATCCAGCTTAGCATCTCCTTTGGTCCACCGAAGTGCTTGGGTAGGACTGCTAAAAGATGGAGACAAAACATGGCCTGTTACACTGTGTTATGCAGAGAAATGGGTAAAAATATCTCTTTTTAAATAATGATTTTAAATAATGTCCTATAGAAGATAGAGGAAGTGCTATCAGAGCAAGGACAACCTGCGTGTATTGCAAACATGGAGTTGGGTGAGTCTCCTCCAGCCTCAACTTCTCCACATGCATATGGCCATGGCTGGGAACTAAAAAAGGCCATGTCCACCCCACAGTGTGTCTCATCCTAGCCACTGTTCCTAAACGAGCACCTTTTTTAATCCAAAAGATTTTAAAGGTAGATGGACTCAATTAATTCCCTGTTCCCAATTCTATACAGCTGTTCCTTTTTTAATGCCTATTTTTTTATAGGTGTCTTGTACAAGACACCTATATTTTTATTTATGAATATTTCTGTTGCTAAAGTGTACACAGGCCCTTATCACACTCCATATCCTTCTCTTGGACGTTAGAGCATATCACAAAATCTTACTTCTGCTGTAAACTAGCTTTGGCTCTGACTAATGACAAGCAACAAGGAAAGAATACAGCAGGCAGTTTAATGAGGAGTAGCACAATAACAGTAATATAATTTGAAGTTACATAACGTTGTGAGTGGAAAAAGAGCAGGTATGTGTTTGCTTTAAAATCAGTTACCAGTGTATTGCCTTTTCTGCAGTAACCCTGTGTGGACTGGCCACTAGAGGGGGAATGGATACACGTTTTGCTGTTGTGCTTTAGCCGAATGCCCAGGTTCTTTGCACATCTCCTTTTACAAAAACTTTCCCAAATCTTTCTTCCCTTTACTTGTCAGCAGCTTATCTTTGTCACCCACTTATAGCCTTTCATAGCTTATGCTTAACAGAGCTAGGGACGATTTTCTAACAGAAGGCAGAGTAATATCAATCTATTTAATTTCTGAAGTGCTGTTCATTTATGCATACATCTCAGATATTATTTAACCTTTCTTTTTTTCTCCTTTTTTTTTTAATCTCCATACACTGAGCAGAGATTTTCAATGTAATATCCAGAATAATAGTTGTTTAATTATTGCATATAACTTACATTTTCAAGGCATGCATGAACAGTTTTCCTTCTATTGCGTCTTTTGCTTTGTATTTGACAATTGAGAATTTCATCCATCAAATCTTATGCAATCTTCAGGTTTTGGAAGTCCGTCTGCACATCTTCCTGATTTTCATTACTTTTTGCAGCATAAGTAATCTGTCATTTGAAAAGCATTGTCAAATATTTCCTGATTGTTGCCAGGATGATTCAGCAGCCCTGGCTTTGGGAGCATGCTGCACTCCCTGTTTTGCTGTATTGAGTAAAAAGTCACTGTAGCTTTGGGTGCCTAGGTATTTTTCTATGATTGTGGATCTTGTCTTGCTTACTGGAGCCTAAATATCTTTCAGATGAGCTTGTTAAAAAGATCTTTGGACATCCAGATAGAAAATGTTCTGCTTTTATGTCACTTAAAGCAGTTCAAAGTTAAGGAATGCAAGAAATAATGGACAATAAAGAAGCTTGCCCTTACTCCACAAAAGCCCAGTCAATTTATCCCTTTTGTATGATATTACAGACCTTAACAGATCTTTAAACTAATGTAAAAGCTACTGCTTAAGATTTATCAGTCCATTAGGATAATCTCTATTCAGGTTCAAGATAGGATAAGTATTTGGTGCAACAGCTACACTTACTAGAAATCTGCATATTTAGCAGCTCCTCCACTTTATTTTTGCACTTTCTTTTTTGTTGTTTTGTTTTTTGTTGTTGTTGTTTTTAATCTTGGTAAATAACATTTTGTCCTAATGATTTGCCAATTTAAACGCACTAGTTTGTTTCTTTAAAAGCTGTAAGTTTTATTTCCCATTTACTAACATTTCACTTACTTGAAAACAATAGGTTTGACATAGATTTTAGTGTTTGTTTCAAGTTTGATTTTCCAGAACTTATTTATCAGATTCTCATTAAGAGTTGTCATTAACAGCCATAACTTGACTCCTTTGCTAATGAAAAATGACAGATTGGGGCTAGGTTGTGCTTCATAACAGGAAAACATATCTAGAGAAAAAAAACAGGGAACTTTTCATCTCCCTTTTTTATGAAAGACATGAAATGTGACTTCAAAAAACAACTTAGGGGGACATTTTTGGGAAGTTTTTTTTTCTGCTATGTAGAATAACTGTGTAATCCCCAACAGTTGCTGGAATCAGGGAAATATATGCATAAAACCAATAGAATAGAATTATAGTAAATATAATAAAAATAGAACCTGCACATGCTGCCCATCAAAGAAGTACAACTATTGATTTGGCATATTTATACATGAAGCAAAAATCAAAGGTCCAGTTTTGTGCATAGCCTTAGAATCATAGAATGGCTTAGATTTAAAGGGATCTTAAAGCCCATGCAGCCCCAATCTTTTCCATGAGCTGGTTGCCACCCACCAGATCAGGCTGCCCAGGGTCCCCTACAATCTGGCCTTGGGCAACTCCAAGCATGGGACATCCACAGCTTCTTCTTCAAGACATGTTTGGATATTGTACTAAGGGACATTGTTTAGTAGGGAAATATTAGTAGTAGGTGGACAGTTGGTCTGAATGATGTTGGAGGTATTTTCCAACATTGGTTATTCTGTGACTTTCTAGCAGCCTGTGCCTTTATTTTGCAAACTTTCTAAGGGTACACTTGATCCCACTGTCATTGATAATCCTATGTCATTGATAAAGATAACAGATAACAAATAGTTAGATTTTTAAAAATATACCCACCGAAAAACCACCACCACCACTAAAGCACAAAAACACAACAGTAGGGAAATAAGCTCAGGACCTGGTTTAATTGGACTTCATGGATTGCTGTTTGTTTGTTCTCAGTATGTCATTTAATATTGCCACAGGTATTTGCTATCCCTTGACGAGTGTTTCCTATGTTGGTTATAACCTCGTTCTCTTCCTGATTCACCTACTGTGGGCACCTGTCCCCTTTTCTTTTAGTACAGTTTTCTTATGTCTTGTGTAATTCACCTTTTTGCAGCTGATGCTCAGTGCCCTTCACTTTCCGCAGCCCTAAGCCTCACCATATGCAGTGTCTTTTGTCTCTATCATTTCTTTATGGTTAGGACCATAGGACTCAATCACTTTATTAGTTTACAGCAATTAGATGTTAAATTCATCACAAGCAGTTGTTTGGGGAATTCATCTGACAGCAGCAATGGGTGTGAAGATGAAGGGAGTTGCATATGCAGGCAGAGAAATACTGAATGTCCAACATGGAGTGACATTTACATGAAACAAAGGTAAACATTAGACGTGTGGTTGCCTCTTTAGTATGAAGATTGCAAACTTTCAAGCAGCAGCCACAAATTTCTGTTAGCTGTCGGAAAATTGCTTTGGGAAATAATCTGGATTGGAGAATCAGTTCTTTGTCAACATGAATTTTAGGATGGAGCAAAGTTTGAAAAAAGGGGCAAAAACCCCCAAGGTTGTTTATCTCATTATTATGAACTTTTTTTATTATTATTTATTTATTTATTTATTTATTTATTTATTTATTTATTAGTATTTACCACCAGACCTCTTGGCAAGCCAAATTGTCAGCAGAGACATTGGGTTAGAGGCAGGTTTGGGTTTACTCCCAGGAGCATGATTTGCTCTCAGCTTGCAAACAGGTTTGATTGCAGATGCGTTTCACAAGGCTGGCAGCTGATAAAGGAATCCGAATCTCTGGAATTCTGCAGCTGTGGGCTGTTCTTGCAGTTTAGTTTGGGATTTTCAGGGCGTCCCTCCCACCAACTTTTGATTCACTCTGCCTGTGAAATTCTGGGAATGGAAAATGGGAGAATGGTTAAGCTGGGATAAAAAAAATTAGAGGGAATTAATATATTGTAAAGTATATTCAGCAATCTGTTTTTGTGCTGCGTCCCTCAGCTATTAGGATGCTTGCTCATACCTCTTTGTAACCACTAGGGTACAGAGGTGTGCTGCTTTACTGAGATTTATTACATATAAGCTGCATCACCTTCATTGGATAAGCCCTTTTAATCAGTTTGATATGTCCATGCATTTATTTTTTTTTTTTTAAATCTCAGATTTTACTGAAAATACAATTTTAAGTCCTCTCTCTGGCGCCGTGCTCTGGTTTGCAATTAGGACAGGAATGCGTCTGAAAAAAAAAGGCCAGAACAAATTTTGCAGGGGATGAGCTTAGTTTCCAAGCATGCCAATCAGATAAATCTGCTGTGCTCAAAATGGTAATTCTGTGATGAAGTCGATTTTTATACTCACCTATTACCTTTGAAATCTCGGGTGTAGGCATTGTTAGCTCAGTCACGGCACGGGATCGGTCGGGTTCCCATAGCACCCATGCTGAAGGACATCTCTGGCTGTAGTTACTGCGTGAGGATGTGAAGAACACGAGAGCAGCAAAATGGTTTAAAATAAGAAGTGCCTTAGCAGCATATTATGTGCTGTTTGCCAAGCACAGGCACACACGATGCTGTTCTTTAGCCACCGCAGCCTGCTACATTTGCCTCTCTCACCCAACTGTCACACCAGCAAGGGTGAGTTGGAGCAGTAATTGGCTTAAAGGCTGAATAATTGCTTCTGAATGCCAACAAGTGACGTTATCTTTATAACAAAAACAATTGCCATGTTCTCACGGAAGTACAGATTTCATTGCAAATGGGTTTGCTTTAAAGCAGCCACACTGCAATAAAATTACAGTGCTCTGCAGCATTCAGCTTGGCTCTTCACAGCCACCCACCCGATTACAGGCTCTGTCATGCCAGCAGAAGATTGTTGCTTGGTTTCTGTAATATTTTTATAGCCCTGCTTCCCTCTAGATAACTTTAGAGGTGGATTGCGCTCACTCCTTTCCTTTCATCAGATTTCTCTGCTGTAAAAAAGAAGTAAACTGGTGGATGGAAAGTCTTTTACGTGGCTCTAAATATGCTTTTCAGTTGGCTTTCTTTTATGTAGATTCTAATAGCGTAATAGGCTCTGGTTTATGTCAGTAATTCTGTAAAAAGGTTAATCTCTAAATCACCAATGTTTCCTAAATTCCTAATCAACTTCATGTTTGGAAAGAAACCCATATAAATGCTCAATTTGTTAATGTTAGAATGGGTCGAGGAAGTCAAGAAAAAGTATAACCTCCGTGCGTGAAGATAAATTGGAACCAGCAAAAATACCTCAGATATATTTTGTCTTAATAGCCATGAATACAGAAGCTGAATATGAGGGAGAACGAGCATGGATGCATTTCAGCAGCAGAATCTGCTGAAGCTCACCATCCCCTTCTCTGTAAATGAATGTTTCTTAAAGGATGGAAAAAAAAGAGATAAGTTGGTTATAAAAGCCTTATTTTCTAGAAGTTGCATGTGAGCTGTGCTGAGGGTAGATGGGAAGACCAACCAGCAAAAGTAGTGGAATAGGCAGCGGAAAAGTGAACAAACATAGAATCATAGTATCATTAAGGTTGGAAAAGACCTCTAAGATCAAGTCCAACCATCAACCCATCCTCACTGTGCCCACTAATCCATGTCAAAACGTGTATTTTTGAGAAGACAGAAAGAGAGAGAGGGGCTGGGTGTCTTCTTCAAACCACTGCTGTTTGCCCTTGCCATGTGGGAGGTGAAGGCACTGAGAAATCACATTTACCTGGTGTGTGTGGCAGTCCCCTCGCCTTCTCACCAGGTTTCATCTTCCCTTTCATCTGCGCCCTTGCCCCTTCCTTTTCTCTTTCTTGTTCAATGGAGCTGTTTGCTGTGGTGCCTTCCTCTCCAGGAGCTGTTTCATCCCTGCTTGCAGAGATTTTAAAACTGCTTTCTTCACCCACATTCGGTCTCAGTTTTCATCTGTGCTGGTCCTTTAGATTTACCATCTTTCAAACGAAAAGGCAGACGAAGCCAAACCACAGCTTCATTTCCTTTTCAGTTCTCCAGTCCTTTGCCTCATTTTTTGTCACCTCATCATTTCTTTTATTATTATTATTATCGTAGCACTACTAATAAGCTTCCTTATTAATACTTATTTGCCATTCTGAATACCCCTGGAGAAGCTGGAGGGAAGGGATATTCAGAGCATCCTTTCGCTATTAATGCAGAGCCAGACATGTTCAAGAAACAAATTTAGTCCATTTCAAAAGCAAATGAGGGGCTTTTTACTGGAGCCAAAGAAAACAACCAACTAGGTGCACTTCAAGTACCTCTCAACACCTTTGCCATAGAATCACGGAGCATGTACTACAGAATACAAAATATCCTTAGGTATCAGTAATGATTTTTGCACCCATGTGCAAGGCAGTTAATACCCAAGCATGGAGCTGCATTTTCACTAGCCCCCTGCAGTACTCAGACAGCATGGTAAAGGAGGGAATTTGCAGCTTTAACACAGAATTTCTTTGTATTTTTATATATTCAGGCCAGAAGCAGAATGTGATACATTAGCATTGATTCTGTGGTTTCATATCACTTTTTTTTTTTTCTTTAGTACAGAACAAAAGGAAAAAAGACAGAAAAGAAAATAAACTATCCCTTATATACATTCATAGCATACACAGCAACAGTTCCTTCATCACTGGCTGCACTGTGAGTGTGTATTGATGTTAGCAGCAAGAGATTGCATATTAGAGATCTGTAACACTGATAGTGTTAACCATCCTCAAAAATGATGGCTCTTTCTCATGCCTTTCACCATCTTGTATGTTAAGAACACTAAAAAAAAAAAAAAAAAAAGTTAATTACCTAATTATAAAAGGCAGATTAGTCATGTTAAGTGGAACATTCAAAGGGGACCATTTAAAATATTTTATTTCCTTTGATATTTCCCAATAATCTGAACAAGAAACTGTCACAGCTAACACCAAAAGTACTTACTTTTTTTTTTTTTTTCCCTTTCTTCTTCCTATTTTTTTTTTTTTTGGAGCCATAGAGTGAGCCATAGTAAGGGGATCAAGAGAGAGGAAATGACATATGTCTGGACAGCTGGTAAACATGAAATCTGAAAGGAATAGTGAGGGGAAAATGTATTCCTGTAGTTGCCATAAATACATTACAAATAGAAGACTTCTCATATATACCAATGCAAGCAGCCAGTTGCAGGATGAATAAATGGGTTTGTAAGAGCTGAATTGAAATGAAATCCTTGCATCCTTTATATTATCCATGTTTTTATCACATCAACTTTTAGAATAAATTTGGACAGGCAACGGAGCACCTCTGTGCCATGGAACAGGTGGCAGTCTTCTTTGCACCAGTAGATGAGTATCCAGATATCTGGAGATCATCAGGAAGCTGTCTCTAGAAGACATTACCGTTATAAAAGATTTTTGCAATCTTCATGATTGTGAAACAGCTCATTTTTGACAGTTTAATAAAGTGCTATCCTCTCCATGGAGGGTTCATCCATCATCCTGCTGGAGTGGCAAACCATTGGTGGTCATTACCTCCCTCCAGGAGAAATGGCAACAGGCAATACTGAAATTTCCCTCACTTCTGGAATCAAGCCCCTTGAAAGCCAAATGTTCTGTTCAATTTACTCAAGCTGTCACTCGAGCATGAAGCACGGGGTGAATAAATTGCAAAGGTGGAATTGCTCACATCTTGCAAACTTTGCTTGAGGTTGCTAACACCAATAAACAACAGGAATCATTCCAGGGGAGAGTGCTTAAAATACAACTCACAGCTATGCTGAAAAATACATAGAAATACAAGCACAGGATAATTGTTTGTCAGTATCAGATTTGCATCAGATTTACAGGGTCAAAAGCATTACAGCACTAATACATTTCCTTTGAGTAACAGGGGGTCACTATGTAAAGAAAGATTTTGTTTGTTGTTTTTTCCTTTTCTTTTTTTAACCATATGTAGACAATATGTTCCAATGTCTTGGTTGGATTTGGAAGCTTTCTGGCATTTAGCTGTAATCAGTCCTTCTGATTGCAGTGCTGGATGTTGATTTGAGGAATGTATAACGTAGTCCAAAGTTAACCTTAGATCTGAGTTGATTTCGGAGAGGGATTTAAAGGGGAAAATACACATTTCTGGTCTCAGTCAGCATGGCATGAAATAATTTCTCCTGTTACCTACAGTACCTTTGCTCTTAAGTTCCTCTATTGAGAGTTCCTATATTGAGAATTTGGGAATGGATAAGGCCCCTGTGTGTTTGAAGCAAAGAAACAGAAATGCACAGTTGTTTAAGCGGATAAAGGGCCAGTTTGACAGCTGGTTTCAAACCTGGGGGTAATTTTTCAGTGGCTTTGATTTAAAAGGTCTATTTTTATTAAAATTCCCCTGATGAATCCTCTCCCAATGCATATTCTCATTGACCCCATTGATAACATTAGTCATTTTAAATACTTTTTTTTTTTTTTTTACTAGAAGACTATCTCATATTTAATATTAAACAGAGTGATGTATATACGAAGTAGAGGAAGGTGTAAGTTTTGACCCTTAAAAGTAGTGTCAGTTAGGAAAAATATAAAGCTCACTCTTTATGGTTAAAATTAGCAGCTAAAAAGCTGCTATGCAGTAAAAAATTACACAAGCTGTGCCTAATCTCTTCTTTATAAGACTGCTGTATCCTTCTAAGAGTAGATAGCACTTGGATGCTACTAAAAAAAGAGAAAAAAAAATGAAAAAACTCCTCTATGTTCCATTAAAATTTCTGTTAGATTTCTGGAGTTTTCCTCTCTTGCATCTTAGGGATAGGGAAATATGTACAAAGCATAAAAAAATGTTTCCTGGTTCTCTATCTGCAGCATTTTATTAGCATGTTATGCTATATGGAGAGAAATTCAAGATGCTCTGCCTGGTGTTATAAAACTGCCTCACCTTCATTAGTATGAGGGGAGTTGTTTGAAAGATCAAGCAGTAGGTTGTTCATGTAACTAGAATGAAAAATCCAAAATGCAAGGAAAGGAAGCCTTTATTTAAGGGCAATCAGAATAAAGCAGCGGTGTGATTCTACATTATCAATTCACTGTTCATACCCATAAATCCCATGGATCAGTCATTGGTAGGGAGGGTTCCTATGATTTCAGCCTCTGTGTGGGTTTCAGGCTGTTCTGTTGGTGAGGGCAGTGATGGGCACAAGGCGAGCTTTGCTAGCATATGCCAGAGAACCCAGAAGTATGCTTGGATAGTTCTGTCCCACTCAGAGCCCCAAACACACACAGGTTGCACTAGTGAGCACTAAACTGCTCCTGCTCGCCTCTCAGTGTGGTTCTACAGTGCATAAAGCAAAGGTTTCTTTGCTCTGGTCATAACTCAGAGCAAGCATAGAAGTGGGAAATGCTAGCAAAAGCCCTTACACTTAGGGTTTTCTCATACTTTTGTTTCAAAAAAGACGATGACTAGCACTTTTTCAGCAGCATTTCACTTGTTCATTTCTTTACAAGACTTTGCAATATGACCTGATTTTTAGAAAAATTACTTTTAGGGGTTACGATGCAGTTTTTATGGCTCTTACAGCAACGTACAGGTGAACTGTGCTTGAAAGCCCCTTTGACACCCAGTCCTGGGGCATGGGCAGAACTTCAGCCTCTCTGGAGTGCACTGGCTGCACTAACATCCAGTTACAGGTAGCGCAGGAACACAAATAGAATTCTGGTGTCATGCTTCATATCACCAGTAAAATGATGGAAGTGAAGGTGCACTAATTACAACAGGAAGCCATTGGGTTAATTTTTATCAGCCTATTTTACGTGGCTTCTTTGCTCCCAGGCTTTTGGTTCAACACTCACAATGAAGAGAAAAAAAGGTTAAACTGTTGCATTTTGTATACAGGGAACAATTCAGGTAATATACACCAGTCTGTAAAAACTGTAAATGCTATTTTTTTTTATTTTAAACATTTTCCTTAGTTTACAAAAGATCAATAATCAGTACCTTTTTTACACTCTCAGTTTCCTGAATATTGACAGATCTTCAAAGGGAGTATTAGCATAGGAAATCTTAAGATTGGCTGTCCTGAAGATTTTAAGACATGATAAAGCTAAAATATCAAGTTCTGCCGGCAGCTCCTCCTGTGATTTCAGCAGAGGAGTGCCCGCGAAATCCTCAGCAAAGCCCCACAAACCCCCCACTCTGCTCCCTGTCTGCGCGCTGCTATTTGGTTGCACACTGTGTAAATCCCCAAGGCAAATCACACCTCGCACTCCCTCGCTGGCTGCTGGTGACAGGAGCAAGATCCGTACTCATTAATGATCACCAGGGCTCCCTCGATGTGGTTGGGTTTGTAATCAACATAATACTCCTGGGCTGACATGGCAGCCATTTGATGCATGGTCTGTTTCTGCTTCTGCTTCCTGCGCTGTGTTACAAAGCACTGTCTTAGCTGCCTTATGCTGGCTGGAAAGCATTTCCAAGAGACGTACAACACTAAAACCACGATGAGGAAGCTAAAAATCAGTGCCATGGTCCCCGTCACCACCTTGTGAATCTGCACGGCGTTTTCCGCGCCTTCGCCGGGCAGTGTCACGGTGATGGCGTACGTCGTCGGCTCCTCGTCAGCCTCTGGCACGTAGGCCGTGGCGGCCGCCGAGCCGTAGCCAAACATTTGGTCGCTGTTGTTGGTCACAGGGGACAGGGTGTTGACACTGGTGGGGTCGACTGTGTCCTCGCACAGGTGGAAAGCATAGACTGCATCCAAAACGTCCTCGCCCTGCGCGTACTCGGGTGTAGCACAGAGCAGGTTGCTGTCGTAGCGGCCCTTGAAGTTGCTCAGCCATGAGGCCAGGGCACAGACGTTGCGGCCGCAGTCCCAGGTGTTGGCAGACAGGCTGATGCTCGTGAGAGACTTCCAGGAGTCCAGGATGCGCGAGTCGATGTAGGTCAGCCGGTTGGAGTCCAGCTGCAGGGACTTGAGGTGAGGCACGCTTTCGAAGACATGAGGTTCGATGTATTCGATTTCGTTGCCAGAGAGATCCAGTTTTTCCAGTTGCCATATCCAGTCCAAAGTGTTGACGACGATGGTGACTTTATTCCGTCGCAAGCAGAGTGAGTGCAGGGAGATGAGCCTGGGGAAGTGGGCTAAATTCACCTTCACCAAGTCATTGTGCTCGAGGTGCAGCTCGGTGAGCTTAAACAAGCCCGCAAAAGAGTTTCGAGCCAGGCTCTTTAACTGATTGTATCCTATGTCTAGAAACTTCAGGCTGCGACAGTCCTGAAAAATTCTCACCGGCACAAACTTGATGGCGTTTGACCGCATGTGCAAAGTCGTGAGTTTTCTCAGCCCGTGAAATAGGTCGGGCTCCAGCGACTGCAGGTTGTTGTACGATAAATCCACACTGCGCAAGTTTGGCATGGGTCGGAACGTGTTGTTGGGCAGTTGGGTGATTTTGTTGGAACTCAGGGTGAGCTCCTTAACTCGCCGCAATTTTTGAAAGGCATTCCCCTCCACTGAGCAAATGTGATTGTGATCCAGATAGAGCCACGTGAGCTGCATTAACCCTGTGAACTGTCCGTCATGCAGCTCTGAAAGGCTGTTGTACCGCAGAGACAAGCCCATCATGCCCGACAGGTTGCGAGGCATCTCTGTGAGATTCAGTGATTCACAGTACAAAAGCCTGCCCTCACACCGACATAGCTGTGGACACCCACTATTCACGGCTGGAAGCATTTTAGAAAAGATACCCAGCGTACACAATATCAACCCCGGGGGCTTCCTCAGCAGCCAGTTTAAACAGAGACCGATAAGAAGGAAATCCATTAGCAAGAATATTTCCAAATATGCTCGAGAATGTCCATTGAATCTTTTCAAATTCTACATCATATTTTATTTAAGAGGAAAAATAGCAACAAGAAAGAAAATAAACAACAACAACAACAACAAAAAATGCCCAGACCAAAGCAAAACAGCAAACGGAACAAACACAGCCAAATATTTCACTTTACAGCATGCAGGAGCTGCGCAGCATTAAAGTTCACAGACATTCAAAGGTAAAATGATAGTGATTTTGTTCATGTTAAAGGCTGCAGCAAAGAAAAAAAAAATCTTTCTTCATGAAAGAATTTAATTAAAAAGTGTCTTACCCACCCTTTTCCAGAGAGTGACAACCTCCATTCAGTTGCTTCCTTTGTGTTTGGACTAATTATATGCAGAGCTAAAAAAGACCCCTCTGTGCTACAAATTCGGTCCCTTTCAGAGCTGTGCAAGGCTGGCAAGCTCACAATGTCTCACTTCGCTTCTGCTCAAAGAGCTCAAGGCTTGTCCAGCTAGCTTTTAGCTGACTCCTAGGACCTGCAAGTTTCAGAACTATGTGCATGAGCTTGATCTTCTCCTTCTCCCTCTGTCCTTTTCTCTGCAGTTAACACTGTGGCGTGAAAAAAACTCCAAACTCTTTACTAACGACTCCACAGGATTTGGCAATCTGTTTAATGTCCATCATTTGCAACGACCATTGACCGGCACAACCTTTACTCCATAGAGAGATTACCATGCATTCACTGACCGGCTAAGGGTAGCTTTATTTCCCATTCTTTGTTCGCTTTGCTTGTTAGGTGATGCTTAGAGCAGAGAGACAGCAAGAATCCTTTCCCTTCAGCCGAGCAGTATGTTGGTAGAGCATGCAGAGGCACCTAGTGTTCACTGAGTGTCGTAAGCTGCTCATGATTGTACGCCTGCACTGTGCATCTCAGACATGGGCAGATGGAAAAGGGGTGGGCATAAAACCAAACGCTGGAGTGAACCGGGAAAGTAATATATGCTCTTTGATGAAATGGAAAATACTTTAAGCCTATCTCTCCATTTCTCAAACACGCACGCACACACAGCCGCACAAATCATCAACAGCGAGGCAGTGCTAAGTAGGAAGCTTGAGAATTAGGATTCTTTATTATTATTATTTGCTTTTGTTTAAAATCTGAATGTATAAGCCATTAGCTGGGGACAGGGAGATACTTGATTTCTTGGTTTTGGAAGGAATATGTAAAGCAGTGTCACCGGATTGCTTTTTCTCTGTAAATCTGAGGATATTTGCTTTTCGGAGACTTTGGGGTTGAAGGGAGGGGGTGGGGGGGGTTGGGAGGGTGGATTGTGTTTTTATTCTGACATTGTCTAAATAGAGGATGATTTGAAATTCTGTGCATTCTTTCTCATAGAAATGCAGCCAGAGCTCTGCAAATAGGAACGTCTGCTTTCCTATAAGCTTTAATTACATTTGGTCTTTTTCCATCCTGCATATTCTCTGTGTGTTCAGCACATGCCTTTCCTAAAGGCTTGGTTTTTTTTTTTTTTTTTTTTTTTTTCTGCAGTGTATGCTATGGCACACAAAACTATCTATTATTCTTGCAGCATAAAGAATACCGTGCGTTCGGAATCAGATCAGCATATAGGTTACTCTGACCATGTCAGCAGCATGCAAAGAAGGGGGAGAAAACCCAATCACTTCCTAAGTTCTGCAGATTGTGCTGCTTTTTGTTCCGTGCACCAAAATAATTTTTGCCTGGTAATTTGCAGCCCTCATTATCAATGGGAAATGCGTCGGCAATGAGCACTACTCCAATTTTTACCGACTGAAAAACGTACAATACTTACTTCTGTCAGGAAAACGCTGGCCATCTTCTTTTCCTGTTATGAAATAGAATCTAAAGGCTGTGTGTTGATGAATGCGATCAGAGCTGACAGCTCACGATCCTGCATGAATCCTCTGTGAAGAAGTTTCGCTCGGAAATACAAGTAATGCAGAAGACAGTGCCGATTTTCTCCTGAAGTCAAGATTGGTTGCAAAGTACTGGAGACAGGGCAAAAGTGTTACATTTCCTTTCTTTTTCATAGCCATGTTAATATTTAAGTCTTCTTTTTTTGAAGTATCTGTTGCAGAGGTATGGAATGCTGGAGCTTTGCATGTGTGTGAGCGTGGCTGGCTGCTGTCTGTGTGTGTGTTGGTATAGATCAAGGAATGCAGTAATTTGATGCAGTAGAAGTTGTTTTACAGAAGTCTTGGTAAACTTAGTCTCTCGTTCATAAAAAATCACTGAAAGAGATTCGTTACAAATGTATTTGCTCAAACCACTCTTAAATAAATGACAAATGTTAACCAGTCAGTCTGCAGTCTCAGATCCCTGGAATCGATGCACTTTAATGCTCCCAATCTGGTTTATTCATTCACATCCTTCTGCTTTTCACATTTCAGGGGTCTCAAAGAAAAATGTGATGCTTTAATATTGTATGAACCTCTTGTATGTTGTAGTAGGGCAAGAGAGCCAAATGTGTTCTCCCTCTCCCAAGATCGTGCTGTCTTGTTCAAAGCAGGCTGTTTATGCAAGTGTCCACTGGTTTGCAGTACACCTTAATTCTGTTTCTCACACAGAAGCAGGAGGGAAAGCAATGACAGAACGGGAAGAAAGAACATAGAAGCAGGAGAAGTGATTAAAAACACCTCTGTGCAAGAATAATGCATTCTAGCTTACATTTCCAAATATTTTGATGCAAATAGTAAGAGAAAAAAGAAAAGACTTTTTTTTGAGTTTATAAATACCAAACAAAGGTTCACAGCATAGAGGTTGTATCCCTTAAAAACTGCAACCCTATAAGTCTTGTTGAGGTGGATCTTACTTCCCTCTCCCATTTAACTGTTTGGGCATAGAACTCTCAAACTAGCCCTAAAAATTTCCATTCTGTATTCAAGGAAAGCTGACATTTTCTGCAAACCAGATGACGATAATGATCTCTTAGTTACCATCTAAATACTACGTATAAAATGAAGCATTTCACTCTAAGAGATGAAACTCCATGATACATCACTGTGAAGAGCTGAATTCTTTTTTCTGTGATGGTTCTTGCAATCACCTGGGATACATTTTGTGTCCTAACCAATCTGCCTATCGCCATGCTGGCATATAATCTATTATCATTTGGTTACCAGTGGTAGAAATTAGAACAGACAGTAGAAAACCTATCTAGAATTAGCTGGAAGGCTGACAACTAGAATTAGGAACCCAGAATTAATGGCCCTAAGCAGAACCTCACAGCTCTGTCAGAGCTATATTGCATGAAAGACTTTGCTGTTATTTGTCCAAAAATGTGTCTGTAGAAAACAATCCAGATAGTTTTTGAACTAGAGACCTCAGCGTATGTTGGGAGCTGTGATGCTGAGGCAGAGTGATGACCAAGTGCATTGGCATGGGAATCTGAACAGACAAACATGGGTGAATGTTCAGCTTAGCCCTGAAATACCTTTGTAAATTTGGTTTTCTTATATATTTTTTAAACATTTTGAAATGTACTTCTTCTTGTTATGGAACTGGGAATCCATTTTGAACTTGATTGTAGCACAAAGGGCTTAATTTCCACTGTTTGAGCTGTTATCACAGCCAAACTGTCAAGTTTACACATTTTCTGAAGTTTCAAAGCCTCTGGCAAATCTCTATAAATTAGTGGATTTAAATTAACTTTATTAAATGTGCTATTATAAACCAATCTTAAGAAGCACAAACTAAGTTTCTAAGTACTTAAGAGAGATTGATTAAATCAATGTAAAGTAGGTTACAAAAGAGCAACTCGAGTTAAAGTTTTAGAAATTTTTACTGGGAAGCCATTTATTGGAGTCATCCCAAGTTTAAGAGGGCTGGAACAGGGTGAGTAAAATCAGAATATTGACCCTAATGTCTAATTATATATGTTCGCATTGTAGTGTATTAACCACCACTGCCACCCATAAATCGTCTTCTTTATTGTACATGTGTAGTAATGAGTATTCCTCTTCCTTCTGGTATTTTCTGAGTGGTTTCTATCAGTATAATAAAAAGTGGAGCTTTTAGCAGTGATTTTAATTTCCTTTCATGAATGGACAGACTCAAAGCTTGATCTTACAAAGTAGTCTTTAATTTTCAGGTGCACTGAACCATAGTATTTCATATAAAGGAAACATTTAAAAACAGAAAAGAGAAGGAAGAGATGTGACTCCAAGTAAAGAAAATTAAAGCTGTTCTTTCTCTTATGTTCATATCCTGGCCATCCCTGGCATTTGGTCAGCTCTCCCTTCTATGTAGAATTGTTTCAGGTAATAAGAAGTCCATCACCTATATAACTTGTCTTTTTTAGGAATTGTAAATTGACAAATTCTTGACCAAAATAGTCTCAGACACGATACCAAAGAAAGAGTCATAACTGCCATTCATTTATTGCAGTGCAGAGCAGACACGTTGGATTTGATACCACATTTAAACAGTAGATATTCTTATGCAAATCATCTTGTTGTTTTTGACAATGCAATAAACACTTTTTATCTCTCAGTACAGCACTCTGTTATCATCATCAGCCATATTCAATAGCAGATATTCATGTATAGCTTTATAAAGTCACTCATGGAAGAGACCTATCTGTAGAATTGCCAATGAAGTGCAGAAATGCCCATTCTCAGGAAAATACATGAGTGGTAAGATGAAGAGCCTCTCTCACCTTTTCATTATTTGTAGAATACTTGAGTAAGCCATAGATTTACAGATTCTCTTAGGTATCAGTGAAAATTGCCTATGAATTTCTGAATGTGATGTCAAAGCATTGGGCAGTGTTATTGGTTGTGAATGTCTAGGTATAATGGAAAAAATGAGTTGTCACCAAACCAAAAAAAAAGTACTACCCTTTTTCATTAGTCATCATATTCTTGAAGATCATTTTAGCATCCTCATCAAGCAAAGATTTGTGCTACAGTCAGGTTACCACCTAGTTGAAACTCATTTCACATGTGAAGTGAATTATTTTACCTTTGTTTTCAATTAACTCTTGCTAATTCATACTTCCAAAAATGTTCTGGGAAGTTTAGGAGGAAGAGTTTGTAGAGAACAATGATTAGCATTTCTGATGGTTTTAGTTAGTCATAGTTAATTGGAAATCAGTTAGTTCCACCATGAGAAACGTTAAGCTAGACACCCCAGAAAGGTTTGTTTCAGGAGCTTCCCAGGCATTTCTGGATGTGCCAGTGAATGAAATGCAATTGATTTCCAGTTAGCTTAAGGACAAAGAAGTTCACAGCTTATCCATACACATGAATGTATCTGCTTTGTCCTCTTCCACTTAGTTCATCTGTAAGGTTTTTTGTTTGTTTGTTTGTTTGTTTTTAATAAGCTATGATGCTAGCTGCTTTCATATTTGTTTTTCAAGACTGATTTTCGCTGAAATAATTCTATTTTCTTACTTGGATGTAGCTAACCCAAGATGACTGTGGAAACCACCTTGTTTTGGTTGGTTATTTTATCGTTAGATTCAGCCACCCTGTGAGAGGTTGAATAATGTTTCAGCTGTGAAAACACACAAAGTGGCAGAATAGCAGAGTTGTGTAGGAGTATGAAAAATGTCCAGAGTAGCCAAGTTAGTTATGGCTTGAAATCATCTTGTGCCCATGAGTTAGATTGATGCTACATTCTGCTCCCCTGGAATGACTTGTGTCACTCAGGAAAATGACAAGTCTGAGTTGGGAACAGAGATACAGCCATATCAACAAGCCTGAAGTCATATGTATTACATGGAGATTGCATCCTGATGCAAAACAGGTCACCATTTTTATCGAGGACATACCCTTGGTGGCAGTAAACACTTTTCAAACTTTTAAGATGCCGGAAATAGAATCAAGAGGAATTTCTGAAATGAATTATTAAAAGTTAGGATGAACAAGTTAAAAGCTGTTCCTGGCAATCTCCTGGAAAGTCTTTTTACAAATGAGTGAACTGCTCTTGGAAAATTTTCCCAGAGCAGAAAATCTGTTCTTTTCAGTAGTAGACAAATTTTTGTTCCTCATCCATTTCTTTTGCTTCTTTCCAAATGTATTTTAATGTACAATCATAAAAATAAGTAATCTTATGCTGGCCTCTTTAGGTACCTTACTACAACAAATGTAGATTGGTGCTGAAGCTACTGTTAAAATAGTATCTAGGAATCAAATAAAGACTTTTAGAATCATAGAATCCTATCACAGAATCATAGAATGGCTTGAGTTGGAAGGGACCTCAATGATCACCTAGTTCTAATACCACACCCCCAAGGCAGTTTT